AGGATGCCTGGTGTGTCGGGGAGGTAAGCAGGTGAAGCAAGGAAGCAAAGGCAAAGGACCTGACGTAGGTTTGCCCTCAGCGTTATTGCCTGAATAACTGGGAATTACTGGGGCTGTAGACAGAGAGAGCGCCAGGACAGTGAGGCTCCGGGGCTGCTGAGGAGTAGGAAACTGGCGGACTATCATTAAGGATCTTTGACTGTCCTTTCTGCCTCCTGAGTAAGATGCAAAGCTATGGAAGAGTTTGAGCACAGGAAGAGTGCTGGGCAGTAGAAGTAGCCTAATTTGACTTCCATGTTAAGTTCTGGCTTGGAGAAGACACAAACTCACCTCTCTGTCTACTGGAAGGAAGGCAGAGCATGCACCCTGAGACAGTTGTTGGGAGATGGCGAAATAGTTATTCCGACTGCTGCTCTTTCCTCGGTGAATTAGGAGGCAACATAATCAGGCAGAATAAGGATGGAGAAGGCTTATCAGAGGCATAAAAGGAGAGGGAAAGGTACACAATGGCTTTTGAGTGGAATAGAATGGTGAGTATCCTGGAAAAAGAGAAAGACTGACAGTCAACCACAGAGCTGCTTACGAATCCATCACTTGTGCAGCAGTCAGCTCTCCTGTTGCTGGGACACAGTACAGTTTAAATACAACTTAAGTGGAAAGAGGTTTGATTTAGCTCATGGTCTAGGGTACTCAGTCCACGGCAGCTGATTCTATGTAGGTACAACGGTGTGGTGGTGCAAAACTGCCTTGCTCATCACAGCCAGGGAACAGAGCAGGGACCTGCATAAGAAAGGAAGGGGCCAGGGGCCAGGGGCCAGGTAATAGTATCAAACGCCACATAGCCATGACCCACTCAGAAGTGTGCTCCTCCAGCCCCTTGGGCAACTCCAGCACCACTTAACCCGACAGGGTCAAGTTTAGCTGCCACAATTTGTGATCCTGAATTTCCACGGAGCCCACTAACATGAGTTGTGTATTTTTTTCCAGCCACAGTGTAGACTGGGCTGATAAGCTCTTACGCCATCAGCCACAGCATGGAATCAGGAGAAAAGGAGACGAAAGCCAGGCTTCCTTCTAGGTCCAGCAGGAAGACCTGGGTCGATGAGGAGAAGGACAAGGGAGAGATCCAGGTGAGGAAGCCAGTGGTCAAGCTAGTGTAGAGAGGAAGGAGAACTGAGCAGGAGAAAGACCAGAAGACTAGCTTTAAGTTCAAGTAGGGCTATAACATCAGGTGAGAGGCCGTAGAGAATATCATAGGAAGTGAAGGACACACAGATGGTAAGATGGAAAGAATGGAATTAAGCTTGGGAGAAATCAGGAGACTTGCTGTGAACAGGTGTGAGAGGTCTCAGCAGGGGCAGCAGGAGTGCAGAGTCACTGGCAGATGTCAGTTCACTGAAACCCAGGACCTATGATAGAGAGATCTATGATATCAGTGTTAAAATCACCAAAAATCAGGACAGAGCAACACTGGGGCACATGGGGGAAGAGGAGCCCCCCACTCCAAGGCCACGGGAAGAGCTCCTCAAGGATCTGAGGAAGCTGTGTGTGGAGGGGTCTGCGGGATCTGGATGGGTGTGGCTTAGGGAAAGCACAGACAAACCTCACTGGTCCTTAAGTTTTGAGCTAGAACAGTCTGGGGACCATTGTAGGGAATCCAGGGCTTCCTAAAAGGGCTGGAATAGTTCAGACAAAGTAAGCAGCAGGATTACGGACACATGCCCACCTGGCAAATTCCTGTGCCCATCGTTTTTTCCCCTCAGCCAGAGCCTACTGCATAGTCCTGCCTTTCTCTAACTGTTTACCAAGAACTGAACCTCTGCCGGCACTGCTGTATGGCTGGGGTTGTGACCCTGGCCCGGGAAGGAGCTAGGCTGCTGTCTTGTCTGCTGTCCACCGTGTCTGTCGATCTTGTCATAGCTCCTGTGTTTGTAGAGTCTCTGTTATTTACCTCTTGGGGTCTGGGCTGATGAGATCCAGCTGCCTGTCCACTTGCGGCTCTGGAAGCCTGCCTGATGCTCCCAGCACGCACTCTGTCTCTGCATCTGCCAGCCGCAGCTGCGGTCAGAGAGAAGGCAGACAGAGGGTCTGTGCCCTCCAGAGTATCGTCGCAGTGACCCGCGAGGTGGGGTGGCTGGAGTACGTGAACCTTGATGCACGTACTTCATAAAGTGAAGTGTGCGTGCTATGGAATATCAGTCATGGCTATTTATTTTGCGACAGTGAGACAACCTTATACCTTTTATCAAAGTAGAAATAAAAACGTGAGTTGTTACTGTGCAGAGTGCTACCATATCCAAATTTCTTGCCTCCAGTGAAGTTTTACCAGCAGTATCTCTGTCATGGGAGCCAGGCCAGTTCTGTTCATCTCCCCACTCAACCCCAGCCCCACTCCAAGAGGGTGGCATTTGGACATGGCCCCCTCTTTTACCGCCTCCTTTCCAATTCTGCTTTCTGAGGCCCAGGACAGCATGGACGCTTGCTTTTGCTAAATACCGAGTCATGTGGGACCACAGGCTTGAGCTGCTTTCTGACTTACTGATGGTCTCCTGCTTTGCTTTTGTTTCTGTCTTTTCCCGGATATCACACAAGCTCCCGAAGGACAGAGCCTGGCACGATGTCTTCATCCTCCTCCCAGGAGCCCTGGTGTTTGCAGAGTGCCATGGCTGTGCTCAGTGCACACTTGGTACCAGGAGTCTTTGGCACCAACCCTTCCCTTAATGCCTGGGACCTGCGCAAGCAGCCTGTGAAGTGCCGTGGCATGCCACGGAGGCAGTCACGCCCTGTGCTGGGCTCTGGAGGAGACCTCAAGGTGAACTTCCTATCCCGAGGCTGACAAATAGGCCCGGCAGATGAGGTGCCGGCAGCACCTGCTTCACGGGCTGCAGCAGGCTGAGCTCTGCAGCGTGCGTGGCAGGCCTAACGAGCGTGGGCAGTCTATGTTCAGTGTAGATCACGGATCCCCTGCCGTGTGCTTTAGCTCCCACTCTCTGCAGGCCTGGCAAGGGCTCCCATTTGCAGAGCTGAGGCTCTGGAGAGGCCATGTGCAGCTGACTTCAAGCTGCGCCTGGCTCTGTCATGCACCTGCCTGGGCCAGGGCATCCCTGCATGGGTCTAGGTGCCCCTTTGGACGTTCAGGCTGGGGCTGTGGGAATGCAACAGCCTCCCACAGCTTACAGAGCGTCTTCCTGACCTTCATTCCCCAACCCTGCCCAGGAGCCAAGACCGTGGCTGCAGCCAGAGTGCTCGGGTTGCACTCTGCTCAGCCACACACACACACACACACACACACACACACACACACACACACTGCATCTTGTGCAGGCATCTGGAGCCCTACAGCACCCCACCTCCTCTGCCAGAGGAGGCGAACCTGCTTTCAGAGGCCTGATGACATTAGTGTTGTTATTCTTGCTTTAAAAATAAGGAAATGGGAGCTTAAAAGGTTCTTAAATCTAAAAACTCAGAGAAAAAGTTCTTCCACTAAGCCGGTGACTGCCTCTGCCAGCCTGTGTGTTTTGTCAGTGGCCAGGAATTTACCCAGGAGAGAAGCAAACAATCAATTTCTAACTGTTTGCCTTTATTGCATCTTCTTCTCCACCCCCACGCTGAGAAATGGAAAATCCAATAAGTAATAAAGAGCACGGCAGCGAAGTCCCTTCTCTTTGTCAGAGGGGTTTAATCACTGGAGCGAATTCCACAAATATTTGTGCTGGGATGGGATGAATCAATGCACTGGAGCAAGCTAGCTGCAGGCTGTGCAGGGTCTGCTCCCTGAGCTAGGTGAGCAGCACCCTTCGAGCTTATCCTGCTCCCCGCCCAGGCTGGGCCCACACCCAGGTCCCTGGGCTCTGAGGGGATGCCATGCAGCCCACAGCCTCTGAGGTCCAAGCTTCTGTCTGTTTACCAAAGCCGAGGGTAATGCAGGCTGAGTCTGGACAATGGCCAGTTAGCTAGTCACATTCTGAAGACAGCCACTGGTCATTGCACTTAGTGATGGCCTTGGAGGCTGCAGCCCTTCCTGCTCCTGCAGGGGGCAGTTTGCCTGCAGTGGGCTCGCAGGATGTGGCAGCCGTTGTTGCCTTGTTTTCCCCAGCACCTGGCTCCCAGCTAGAAACACAACTAGGAAACAGGGTTAGAAGAACAAAACCCACAGCACAGATTCCTTGGTGGAGGTCAGGGTAGTTTGTAGTCTGACCTACTGCCTTCCCGAAGCCCGGCTCTGTCTCTCTCCATGCTGCAGGGCTGTGCCAGGCCCAGCCTCCAGCCTCAGCTTTGCTAGCCCCTCCTCTGCTGGAGCTCTTCCTCCCCTGCTCAGTTTGGTCAGTACCAGCCATACCTTCCTTCTCCTGTGGGTTCCATTCCGGTCGAGAAGGCCTCTCTCCTATAAATACTTCATTTGGTAGCGTGATAGGCACCATCGACTTCCATGTGTTTTTAAACCAGATTTCCCCCTCGATGCTGCAGAAGCTCAGGTCCTTCCACCTAGACCACGAGCTTCCTGAGGACTAGAGGCCCTGTGTGTGCACTGCTGCTCCTCAGGAGAGTCAGGGCCACCTGGTGCAAGGCTTGCCTGGTCAAAGTGAATTCCTGGAGCACTCAGCATGGTTCTTCCCGTGACAATGGGGTTGGTCCTGAGTGTTTATCAGCTGGCTGTTGTTTTGTGGCAGTCAATGTCAGCCCTGCTTTCCAGCGATGAAACTGACAGCAGCTGGATGCTAGTGAAACCAGCTTTGGCAATTAGGTTGGCAGACAACCAAACCCGGCCATGGCAGGCAGGAGGTCTCCTCAGCTCTTGCCCTGTTTCTGTCTGGCCTTACTCCCGGGAGAATGCTGGCACTTAGACAGAGTCTGGTCACTAACTCACGACAAGGAGACAGAGGGGAGAGGAGCCAGCCAGCCTACCAGCTGCTGGGGCAAGTCTGGGCTGCATGTGATCCCACAGGGTTAGGGAGGGAGGAGACACATTCTGTCTGTTACAAAGAGTATTGCACAGGCCATGCATTCTATTCTCATGTCAGTGATTGTTTCACCCGCAGTGCAGATCCCGACAGCGGCCTCGCAGCCTTTCCCTTGGGCACAGCTGGTGAGGACCACCATGGTAAGACCCCGCCAGCTTCCTTGCTCTGCCCCCACCCTTCAGTCGTCAGCGTCCTCACTCCCTCTTCCAGGCAAATGCTCTCAGGTTCCTGCATTGCGGACAGGACCTGATGGTGGTGGCAGGGGCGAGGCTGTACCAGGGGAAACTGCACTTGGGGGAAAGAACGTCCCCAGGGCTGCGGAAGGCTTAGCATCTGCCACCAGCAGGAAGACTGTGAAGAGGGCAGCACCCATCTCTCCGGCCCTTGAAGTCACCCTGCAGACCAGCCTCTTTCCCTGTCTGTATGGGCACTGCAGCTCCTGACACACACACAGGATCAGTAGGTATTTGGTGAACTCAACTGCTACATGCTATGAAAATCAACCTGGCTATCATGGCAGTGTTACCAAAGCTAAAAAAGATGATAAGAAAACATGCCATATATCAACCATAGACTGCCTGTCAAGTCAAGATGGGTAGAGAGAAGCGATAACTGTAACAGAATAATAAAGAAAATATAGGATAAATCATAGAAAAAGGTATTAAAGCATTCACAGTTCAATGATTTCCAAAGCACAGGTAATAAAAGCATAAATACATTACCTAGATTATGTTTTTATGAAAAAGTTTCTGCATAGCAAATTAAATAATCAACTAAAGGAAAAATTGAAGTATAGAATAGGAGAAAATATTTACAAATCATATATCTGATAAAATTTTACTATCCAAAACATGAGGAGTTCAAAAACTCAATAGCAAAAAATATTATTTGATTAAAAAATGGCCGAAAGAACTGAATAGACATTTCTTTAAAGAAAGCATACTAATAGCCAAAGAAAAGGTTCCCAACCATAGTTGTTCTAATCATCAGGGCAGTGCAGAGCAAAGCACAAAGGTGCCAGCATTTCCTGCTTGATAGCCTGTACCCAACAGGAGAGAAGTGAGTGTTGGAAGGGTCGGAGACCAAGGAATGCCTGTACACAGCGGCAGGAAGTGTGGCTGTGTGGACCCAGGGAGAAGGCGTGCAGCTTGCTCAAAACCCAAAGAACGCTAGCACAGAATTCCGTAGTCCTATTTCTGGGTTTGTAACCCCCAAATGAGAATCCAGATTTCAGAGTGCTATTGGTACACTTGTGTTTCTGCAGCTTCTCACAACAGCCGAGACATGGGAGCAGTCCAGTCTATTGACAGGTGGAGGACACGTGGCTCCACATACAGTGGGGTGTTATCAGGCATAAAAGCAATGGAGAGTCATTTGTGAACCATGCTTAAACCTGGGAATGATTATGTTAAATGAAACAAACTAAACACAGCACAAACACTGCCTGATCTCACTTCTGTGTGGATTCCAACATGGTGAAGCCTGCTGTACACTAGCAAAAAGAGCTTCCTTATGTTTGTGTTATGCCTAAGTACCTGCAATGCTGCTGTACTGTTCTGTATGCGTTTTTCTCCCCTCTGGTGACATAATTGATATGTTAATCAATGCTCCCCTCTGTAAAGAATTGTAAATCCCTGGGAATCTAACCTAATTGATGTGTTAACCATTGTTGCCCTCTACAAATAACAGATGTGGTGCTAAAATAAGCTGACAAAGGATTGTTAATTACTGCTAGACTACTCTGTCCTCTGCTAAGGGAAACAAAGGTTTTCTTCATTTCCTTAGCAGGTTTCCTGATCCATGCCCATAACCCCTTACTTTGTAAACTGTGCTCTCTACAAAAAGTCGGGAAAGTTTTGAGGGAGACACACAGCTTTTGCAAACTCCCAACTGCACTGTGTCGCTGGGCCCAGGATAAAATAAATCAGCGATGCTTTTTTTTAAAAAAAACAAAAACAAAAACATGTCTTGCCCCATTTTTGGACTCGAGGTTGGGGACTCTGGGGGGCTCGTTTGTGGATTACAAGAAAGCCCATGGGAGCAGGGATTAGAATGGTCATCACCAGCTGGGCAAGGTGGAAACAGGTGGTCCCAGCCAGAGTTTTGGCCTGCAGATGAATGTGAATCCTAGGGACTAACAGCACAGCAGAGCTCCCACAGAGGACCGTTCAGTGTACTTAAAATTCCATAAAGACAGTGGATCGTATTTTTATCAGAAATAATAATAAATGAAGCAAGATGGTAGCAGAAGCCTTTGGAGGTGATGGATATACTGATGACAGGTTTTGGTGTGTCCTCAGCTCCACACTCATTACACTGCTTGCGGTAACGACAGCTTTTAGGCATCATTTAAACCTTAGTAAAGTGGTTAAAAACTAGAATAGAAACCTCGATTTTTCAGGCAGCTACTATGTACCAGGAAATTCACAGACTCTTACATTTATTTTCATGATAATACCATGAGGTTACTGTTATGTTCAGTTTTCAAGGAAGAAAGATTATTTCAGAGTTTGGATAACTTGAACAAAGACACAAAGGTAGTAAATGATGGATTCACAATCATAGACACAGTCACGTCAAACAGGGCTCTGTGACACCACTGTGCTGCCCAAGAACGGCAAAGCTAGGGTGGAGGAGGAGGCTGCTGCAGGTATGCATGGGCTGGGCCCTGGAGCAAAGAGTGGTCTGGGGCTGGCCTGAGGCACTTTGCAAAGGAGCTGAGCCTCCTGAGCTGGCATTATACTTCCCCATCTGAAGGGTTCTAGCAGTTGTGATTATCGAAGGATGTTGATCTTGGACTTTCCAGCTGACAGAAATATGGGAAAATACATTTCTTTTTATTTAAATGCAGCAGCCTCAGGCATTCTATTATAGCATCCCATAGCTGACTGAGATTCCCACCACTGATTGGACTTCGGTGGATCTGGTGAGTACGTTCCTCTCACTGGAGCACTTTTCAGAGCTTCGTGGCATCTTGAGGCTGTGAATCAGCTTGCAGAGGTGGCAGCCTGAATTTTATGTTTGCTCTTTGCCTTTTTCCTCTCTTCTCCTCCCTGGGATTATGCCTCACTGATACATTTCAGGTACAGGAGACACCCCTCCGGCTCTCCTTCCTCCCCTAACTTCCTCTTGTTCTGTTTTTACAGGCAAGTCAGTGTTTTAATGAGGGTCAACTAAGAAGCTGTTTGTGGCTTGCCTTTCCTATGAATGCTCTCTGCACCCTGGACTCTGGCCCCAGAAATGACGCTTGGGCTCTAGTGAAACCAAGCAAGATGGGATGCACAGGGGGATGAGGGGTGGTGATGCAGCCCCCTGTGAGTCCAACAGTGGAGCCTTTTAAAGCCCCATGAGGAAGGGAGGCCCTGCTTGTGATGGGGTGCGCAATGAGCTCCTTCGCCCCATCTCCCCTGCAGTCTCTTGTGGGCAGCTGCTGTTTGGAGGGGCGCAGGAGTGGAGCAAGCGGGAGGTGTCCCATGGGCTTCTTACTGGCCCTGGCCGCGTGGCTCAGAGAAACAAACAGCTATGGGCTTGCAATGCCTGAAAACCTAAGCACTTGAAAATTTCTGACAAAATGCTTTTCCAAAGTTAAGTTCAATATTGAGTTCCCAGAATCATAAAGAAAATGGTGAAGCATTGAATTGAAAAATAATTTATTTTGCAAAAGAAAGTTAATTCGCCTGGCTCTGGGCACAAGAGTCACAGTAATCTAGTGAGACATTTAGGAGACTGAGAGTTGCCGTCTCAGTCCAGAAGAAAGTTAAAGATTTCAAGCTCCCATGAAGCCATGCAAGCCGCTTTTTCCTTCACACACTGATCTTGCCTTATCCTGAAAAACTACTCCTGAGATTTTTAAAAAATAAGCAGGTTTCCATAAACTAGCCAAATACAATTCTAAAAAATGAGTAAAACTAGAAATCTCATTCAGTGTGATGTTTACAGTATGATGAATGAGTTTGATTTACTTCACTTCTGAGTATGGTTTCAAGTTGTCTCCATTTATCTCTAAAAGCCTCAAAATTATCCTTGTTTATAGCTGAGTAGTACTCCATTATATAAAACATCACATCTTTTCTATCCATTCCTTAGCTGATGGGCGTTTGGGTTGTTCCCAGGATGTAACTATTACAAATTGTGCTGCTACAAACATTGGTGTACATGTATTGCTGTGGCATGATGTTTCCAGTTCTTCTGGAAAATACTCAAAGGGGAATAACTGGATTGAATGGGTCTTCCAATCCTAGTTTTTTGTGTAAATATTGTATTGTCTCCTTAGTATTAAAAAAAAATTGAGAGAGTAACCAGATCCAAACCGTACAATAGATATTGTGATAACGAAAGGGAAAGAAAGTGCTGAAGAGGAAAACACAACTGAGAGGGGGAGGAGAAAACGTATACAGGGGTACAGACACGTGTGTGCATATATACATATATATGTGACAGGTAACTGTACTGCTGATCTCTGTTAGTTCATCAGTAAGACCAGTCAGTGCTTTCCTTGCGTGCTTGATCACTTTTTATGCCTAAATCTTATAACCTGAGCAACTACCTCTAAGATAACAATATGTAATTTGCTAACTAGTGCTACTTTCCTACTATTTTTTGGAAATTCCGTTTCATTTCTATCCTTTTCCCTGTTTTGTTTTTTAAATTTAAAAAAAGGGAAGAGAAATCCCAGTCTGATAAACACCCAGCGCGTTCATGGGCCCAGCGCTCAGGAGCCCTGGCATGCTCGTGTGAAGTGAAAGAGGGACTGAAACACTGCGGCAGCGTGTACGCAGGGACAGAACTCGCTTGTGTTTCGAAGGTGAGTTGGTCCACATCTCGGGAAACTGCTGCTCTTGCTTTTCAAACTCGGGGCTCCCTGGTGAAGGCCAGTGTACTTCTTAAGATGGTAATAAAGAACAGTGCAGCTTCCTGTTGCCTCTGGGGATGCCTTGCACAGATGGCCTTGGAAGTAACGTGGTCATTCGGACTGGGTTCAGTCTGTGTTTTCCTCCTGGACGCCCTGAGTGCCCACAGGAGCCACCGTGCTCTGCGCTCTGAGGCGTTTTCAGGGTGGACGGCAGATGACTCCCTACGCGTAGATCCTTTGTATTTATATTGACAACCTAGAAAGCGTGTTAATGCACATCTGTCGGTTAGTTACGTGGTGTGAGAACCCTAGAAATAAATTCTGGGCTCAGTGCAGCATTAACTTCATTGTTGCTGCGTCTTTCTGAGGTCTGGCTCGCGCTTCAGCTGATGCTCAGTAGTTTCTGCAGCTTACATGTCAGAAATTCTGCATCTTCAGGGGCCGAAGGCAGAACAAACCTACATACATAACCTACTGGCAGTTTGGGGCTCCTCCCCAGAAAGCAGGTTCAGGGTGGCTATGAAGAATGCCTCTGGAAAACATGCATGTTGTCAGCTGAGTTTTATTTCCCTCCAGGGGCCTCCATCCTGAAGGCATCCAAACACGCGAGAGGCAGTCTGAGTTCTAAACAACAGAGGAGCAAATTCTCTCCCTCATTTTCGAGTGCACAGCGGTGGAAAATTCTACACACATAGTTTTCAGATTCTAGTATTAAAGAGACTAAAATTCCTAGACCATCAGCCAAGTCTCCTTCCACTTACAGTCCTTCATGAATTACTAAGCATCATGCCCGGGTTAGCAGCAGCCCTGGCCATCTGTGGGAGACAAATATTGCCCGGCTAAGCATTTATCTGGAAGGCAGTAAGCATCGAAAGGGAGAAATTCAGGCCGCTGGAGACCGAATTGAAGATCCAGTCACCGTCAAATCTCGCTGCACCTTGGAGATCCTCCTTTTGTCAAAGGAGACACTGAAAGGCACTGCGGAGTTCCGGAAGGGGAGTAACATGGTTGATCTTGCCTTTGAACAGATTGCTCTGTTTGCCATTTAAATCCAGGTGTCAGGTAAAGACTTGGTGTCCAAGGCAGGAATCTGTTGCAGTGACCCAGGTGAGTGTGTGATTATGTGTAAAGGTGACAGTGACAGAGAAGGTGAGGTGCCTGTGAGCAGCGATGCAATTCACAGGACTTTGCCATCTATTTACGCTGCCCACTGGCTTGTGAAGCCAGCCGGGCAAAATCACTCTCCCACACGCTGTGCTTGGAACGCTTCATTTAAAACAGCAAAAGTGAGTGGAATGCTTCTGTCCTTTCCGCCTGTTCAGGTTGTTTAGAGAAAGCTACATGTACTCCTAGCACTGCGTAGACACAGTGGGCTACTCCAGATGCTTTTGTAGTTTTGGTTTCCTGTCATCATTTGGGGTCCTCTTTTCCCTGAACTTGGAGAAAAAGTCGGCCTTTTTTAGTTACCTCACCTTACTTGTGGCCCTTTATTTCCCTTACTCAGGGACTGCTGTGATTGCCAGGGAGGATGCTCAGAAATGAGTAGCACTCAGTGATTGATGGAGAAAGAAGGGCAGGCCCTCTGAGGGCAGGTCACCGCGTAGGGTAGGGGAGAGGCAAGGTGATCAGCGGGCACCCACCTTCTGACCAGCTCTGCTGAGCGCCCCGGGCCCTGTGTCCTGGACTCCTGCTTTTAGGGCGGATGGAACTGTCTGGGAAAGCACATGCACTGTGGAGTCCGAAAGGCCTCAGTGGGCACCCTCACAGGGTGCACTGACCTGGGAACTAGGCTGGCCGGGCCCTCCTCCCTGCCTCTTTCCCAGCTCCCTTCCCGCCTCCAGCGTGCACCTCTGTTTCCTGCCATCGCTCCCCAAACCCTTCCCAAACCAGGTGATCTTCAACATTCTGTGACGTTTCCTTGCCTAAGCAAAGACCCACCTATTTTCCTAGGAATGCCTCACAGATGCTCTTCTTCAGCGGCCTCCTCTGTAAACAGAAGTGCAAATTGTTCCTCCTAGTAATCAGGTGGCCTTGGGGCCTTTGTCTGCCTTTTTCCTACCCCTGGCTGGTTTTGTTTCATTTTTCAGCATAGCTTAAAATATCAGTTCTTTAAAAACAAAAACCCACTTAGTGTAAATGTTTGCACCAATTCAGTTCCTCGGTATTCCTCATGGGTTCATACTTATTTTTGTTATTTCCCCTTCTCCAAATTCTGTGGTTCTTATCGCTTGCTGTGTTGTGCCCAACACCAGTACAGTGCCTGTGACATTAAGAAGTGTATTAATAAAAGGATGGATGAATCAAATAATTGTCACAAGGATTAAATGGGCTAACAAATTAAAACGGCTTTCAGAAGTGCTGGGCCAACATTAGCCAGTCAAGAGTCAGTTCATTTCTTTCCTTTAGCTCAGCAAATATTCTCTAGATACCAAATCATTGCAGTGTGCAAAGGTGCTTGAGGACAACATGGGAAACAGGACAATTAATCGGTAAGATTTCCCCCAAGAACAGCTGGAACGCTCACAGAGGACAAGGAAATAGCTTATGCCCATGAATTCCATAGTTATTCTTTGCTTTGATCTTTAAAGAGTTTTTTATAACCCATAATGCTCACACTCATGGGGGAATTTGTGCGGATGCTTAACACATCTCCAGTCTCTTTTTAGTGTCCCCTCCCCTCTGTCTAGCCTCCTCCTTCCCAGGTTTGCAAAAGCTCTGTATCTCCTTTTCCTTCAATTCTTTTTGTAAATCCAGTTGCTTTCCTTCTCTCTCCCCGCCCCCAACTCTTGTTCTCCTTTCCATTTGAAAAGGTCTTCCTGCTTCCTACAGTTCAGTTTGGTCTTTTAAATCAGATAAAATGAGTATTTGAGTTTCTCTGTGTTCATGTTTACATTTTGCTCTTGACAAAACATTATTTCTCACTTCTGTGAAAATCAGACTAAAGAGATTTCTTCTACATTGCCGTGCTCTTAAAAACACCATTTAGACAAATATTAACTTTTCCTTCCAAAATACAAGACTGGTTTTATTCTTTCATGGTTCTACAGTCCAACATAATCTATGAATGATTCAGAAGGAAGTATTTTTACTAAATTTACATTTCCTTGTATTAACTTTTATGAAAAATGGCACAGCTAGACAACTCAACATTCAATTTTGTACAATCTGGAAGGACACGGTACCTGTATGGAATGGACAGGAATCACTTTCTCCAGCATGCATTGTACTGAACACCGCTGCCTGTCGACACCTATGGGAGTGCTGTGATCTCAGGTATGTGCACAGTCTGAGGGAGTCAAGTTCACACAGCGGGGGATAGAATGGTGGCTGCCTGGGGCTTGGAGTAGGGCAGCAAAGGGTTTCTTCAAAGGGTTCAAAGTTTTCACTAGATGGAAGGGATAAATTCTGAAAGTGTTGCATGGCACAGCGACTATAGCTAATGATGATATAATTTTTATTTTAAAATTGCTAAAGAAGTAGATTTTGGATATTCATGGTGCAAAAACATGTTCAGTGTGGGAAGTGATGTTAGTTTTATTTAATATTCTAAAATATGAATATCTCTATCTATTTATATATAACACTGACATGTATACATAATTAAGGATTTTAAAAGAGCATAATGATGAAGATTTTCCATGCTGTTTTCAGTTAGAGTATAATTAACTTGCCCTCTTGTTTTCCACATTTGACTTTCAGGAATGATTTACTATCTATCGGTCTCTTAGGCATTTGCGGGGGCTTCCTGTGGCCCAGAAGAATTTGGATACATGAGCTGTAAAGACATCATCTTGAATGGCCAAAGTTTACTGCCACTTGAAACAAGCAAAAGGAACCAAGAATTCCTAAGGCTTCCACTTTTCTCTCTTCGAGTGTTTCCAAGCAATACGAATGCTGGGATTTTAGGAAGTTGGAAAGAGACTCCGTGAACCAACAAGGAAACTAAGTTTGCGCTTTGCTAGTAGGACCGACTTCTGAAGCTGGGCTTTCCATTGTCCCCAAGACACTGTCTTCAGCTCAGCTTCCAAAGTGACCCTCTTAGAACATGAGTGGGGCTGGGCCTTTGCTTCTGGGTCAATACTGAATTCCTAAGCCCGGTTCCCAGCCATGGTCTAATTCTCTGCCACTTCCGGGGGTGCACTTCCTTCAACCCCACCAGCCTCTCTGGCCCTTCAAATGCTTTCAGGTCTCTGTGCCTTAGGGTGCTGTTCTCTGGGTCTCCCCTGCACACTTCCCTCTGGGGTCTCCTCTCCTGTGAGGCCTTCTCTAACCTTCTGCACAGGCTTTGCAATTCCCTTCTTTCACCATGCATAACACTGGGATTATGAACACCTCAGAAAGAGGTGGTATTTTATTTAATTTTGTATTTCTAGGACTTGTCTGGAGAAGAGCACCTAGACAATGGTTCAAGAATGCAAAAAGGAAACCTGAGGATTATTGTCTACTATTTTCCTGCATAACTACTTTCCCAGTAATTCAATGTTTAAGTAAAAATTTACCATGTAAGATTATATTCAGAGTGGATCAACCATTTTGCCTGTAATCACTGCCTTGAGGGAGGCTGAGGTAGGAGGATCACAAGTTTAAGTCCTGGCTAGATAACTTAGCAAGATTCTATCTCAAAATAAAAACCAGGAGGCAGATGTAACCTAGTGCTGGAGTGTCCCATGGTGAGGTCCCAGCACAGGAGGAGAGAGCTCAACCACTGACCACATTCAGTTTGGAAGCATCAAGGTAAGCAGAAACGAAATTGGAAGGGCCAATGAAATCTGGGCTCCTCTCCCACTGGCCCCCCACATTCTGTGACCCCTCAGTCAGTTGTCCTTGGGCACCTTAGTTTTTTCCTTATCTGTAAAAGGGGGCTGAGCAGGAGCCATTACTCTGAGACAGACTACTCAGCTCCAAGCATCAACCAAGTCAAAGAAATGGCAGTGCTGCGCGGATCTCTAGGCTGTGTAGCCCAACCTTCTCCCTGGATTCAGGGCCCTCCGATCATCCCTTCTGGGGTGGCCGCTGGCAGCCTTCCTGGCCCTTAGCTCCTCTGTCCCTACACTCAGCTCCGGGGCATTGCTCCCAGGAAGTTCTCTTCCCCAAGTAAAAGCTGCATTCTTTGTGACTTAGCTCCCCCAAGTCACAAGAAAAAGTCAGTTCCAGGTGCACTTCAGTCCTGGTGAGCCGGCGTCACAGCCCTCCACAGCCTGACCTCCGGATTAAAAGCCTAGACTCCTTCACACAAGGCTCACAGGTCACCAGTGCCCTCAAGGTTCTGACCAGGGACCTTAGAAGGCGCTTTGTGGACCCGTATGGAGGTCCCTCTAGGAGACAGCGGATGAGGGGCAGGCAAACCCCAGGCAGCCCCGGCTTTCCTCAGGGGTGACACCACCTGTCTCCCCTCACCGCCCAACGGCAAGCTTAGATTCTGCCCTAGAAGCCTGCTGGCTCAAGTTGCCTTTGTGGTTAGTTGATAGTTGGAGTATTTCATAGTTTAAGATAAAAATAACTTTAAGATCTTGTGTCAATCTAAGTTACCGTCTTTGCACTTACTCATGCAATTCATTTTCCGACTTTACTGGACGTGCTTCCATTTATCTATATAGGTTCAGCCCTTAAATACCGCAGCGCTCCCAGGAGTCGCTGTGCGGAGCAGGACCAAGGGTCATGCACGGTCTCAGGCAGAGGTATCGGACCAGAACCATTGTCAGGCACCGTTTAACCAGCCGTTCTCTGGTCTTGGTGGCCTGGCCAGCTGATGCCTGCCTTGGACACCTGTTCTGGCTTCATTTCCTGCATGCCTCCTCCTCTCTACAGTAATGAGCGCTTTCTAGCTTTTCCTTCCTTTGGTACCAAAATCAACAGTCAGGAATAACACTGATAATCAGCCTTAGCGGGCAAACAAATACCGCCCTGGGAAAGCCCTGTATTCCCTCGTTACAAGGAAACCAAGAGTGTATTTGTTAGTCTAAATTCTGCTCTGTCTTGTAAAATCTCACCGGTGAAGATCTGATTTACTAATTTTAATTCCAATATAGCCACTGAATTTACAGTTTTACCTTTTACTGTGATTTGCTGACTCCTATGGCTTCATTCAAGGAATTGATAATCAAAGGGAAAATCATAGAGTCCTGTGGCCTGCTTCAAAATTGGTAATCAGCTATCTATTTTGAACTTGGTGGGCAATTGAGTCAGCTGAGAATCTCCTTAAACTTATCGTTAGGAAGCCTACATTGCTTAATCTTCTGGATTTGTAGTTAACATTAGCAACTATGATAAATATTGCATTAGGTCTGAGGATCAAATAATAATCAAGGCACACTGATTTTCTGATTCAGCTGAGGCCTCCCCAGAAGACAGTGTTCAACTTAAATCAGTGTGGTGTTTCAGGCTCTCTGTTAGAAGCAGCGTCTTGGGGAAATACGTGAAGAGGAAGCTCTCTCTATCTCGGGTGAGGTAATGAGCAGGGCATAGTGGAGGAGGCTTTCCTAAAGCAGTGAGATCTGAGCTTAGGATGAAGGATAAGAAAGAGCTGGAGGGTGGGAGAGGGAGGGAAGACAAGAGGGGATGTGAACCCCAGGAAAGCCTCTGGAGCTTGGCTGAGAGGTGAGCGCATTGTGGACTGTGATAGGTACTCAGTAGATGCTAATTCAAGACCAACTTTAACTCAATGACTCTGTAATAAATACAATTAATTAAAAATAATAGAGGAAGCAAGAATATACACCTCTAAATCCAGGGAACTTGAGTCCGAGGCTTTAGCAGAAAAATGTGCTTTGCAAGTAGCAAATTCAATTTTAAACGTAAAAGTGTTTTTCAAAATCTTGTAAGGAAGGATCACCTGGAGAATTTTTGACATGGCATGACATGCTTTAGTGTCTAAAACCCAGTGGGGTGAACACAATGTTTGAGATGGTTCACTTTAGGTCGGTGAGTCCAGCTCATCAGAGCTGCTTATGGCTGAGAAGTCCTGACATTAGAAGATGGTCTTAAATTATTCTCAGTGAGTTTCTTGGAATACGAAGCTTTGCTCAGGGAACATGGGCTGCAGAGGGTCCAGCACTCCATTGTAGGCACTGAGGACCACTGAGGATTGTCCTTCTGGGATGTCCCTACTCGCACTTGCTTTAGTTTTTAGACCAGCCTCAAGTAGAAGAAAAGTGTGAATATCTCTCTTCTCTCTTCTTTTCCCACAAGAATTTGCTACGTATTTGCTAGCGGCGAGGCACTAAACTTGGCCCTGGGAAAACTGAGATGAGGTGAACAGCATCTCTGGGTAATCTCAGTCCAGAGAGATTCTCGGTGCAAAGGATGCACCAGGGAACAACCTGGGACCACTACTGTGGCCACGGGTGGTGGGAAAGGCTCAGTTACAGGCAGGGATCTCGTAAAGACAGGCTTTCAAACTGTGAGCCCGAGCGTGATGAAGAGCTGTGTAACTGCTCTGAGCGCTGCCTTTCACATTACTTCTGGAATGTGCTCTCGCTAAGTATGCTATTTTTCAAAAGTGTCTCACTCCTGGGCATTGAACAAATGTATGGTTCTCAAATGTAATGTGTTCAAAGAATTATTTCCTATCTTGTCAGTAACAAAAAATAATAATTCTAGGCTTTAAAAAATGAGTTTAAGATTGTATGCTGACAGAAGATTTTGAAAAAAGAAAAAAACTCCCCTAATGGATAGAAACACCACAATAAAGAGTATATTTAGATAGTAAAATCTCTTAGGAGTAAGCTGTCACATATTAAATGATGCTGAGAAAAGACACATTTGCCATATTCTTTGATGTCTGAAAATATAGCTTCACGTATTTATGGAGCATAAGCCATTTGAATAAAAGTGAAGTATCTCTTGGCTACCAGTGCTCCACTTTGGTCTGCTGTTACAGCCTCAGGGCCACGGAGGAGCTGGAAAAGGAGGTGTCCGGGAGGTGCTCACAGGGCCTGCTCCGTCCTGCTTCCTGCAGGCCTGATGCCCAGAGGAAAACCCAGACAATGCAGAGCAAAGCTTTGCTGGAGAAGAAGTGAAGCCTGCAGTGTGTGCTGGGGGAGCTCTCCTGCTGGAGGGGGGCAGCTACCTCTGTAACTCTCCCATTTCCCCAGACGGAGCGCACAACTGCTCCAGGACAGGATTTACATCACACCACCGTGCTGCTTCGCTAAGTCTGCTTAGGAGGCTTAAAAATGCCACGCTTGAGCTTTGATGATGAAATAGCTGCAATATTTGGCCATCCCAGAGATTCTAGTCCACAGAAACCAGGTGTGATTCTGTAGCTTTGTTCTTTTTATTAATTTTAGGCCCCTCAAAACTTGAAATTATTTATTAGTCTCATATATCCTACTGTAAAAACAGAAATCTAGCTATTTGATAATTTTTTTCATGTATAACTTTTAAAATAACGTCAACAATGTCATTTTCTTAAGTTCTTCAACGAATATATTTTTGTGTATTGTTTCACAAGATGAAAATAATAATAAATCAAACATTCTCAGAAAATCTCTAAGGGCTTTGAGAGAAGAAAAACAAAATGAAGTAGACCTCAAATTAACAAGGTCAAAAGAAGGAGGTTTCCTGGAAATATTTACCCATATTGAGTTGTTTCCATTTGGAAGAACAAGTTGAGAAATGCTTAAGATCCTCTCTGGGGACTGCGCTGATTCCCAGCGTTCCGTTTCCTTAGTACGTTGAGCTCAGATGCTCCCTGAGGCCTGAAGCTGTTTGCAGACTGACCCCTGTGTAAGGAATGTGATTGGACTGCCGCAGTCCTGGCTGACCATGGGCAGCAGAGCTGGGCTTGCACGCCTGGATGAGGAACGGATTTGAGGGGTAGGATCCAGAACGCCAGGTTCTGGTCCAGTTCTGCACTAGATGCAGTCCTCCTCGGAGCCCTCGGCGCCTCCTGTCTCAGCCTTTCTTGGCTGCGGCCCTCTTTGCCTCTCCGCCCCCCTCCAGCCTTGGTCCTTCTTCCGGCCACGCAGCACCCTTGGCGCTTGGCTCTCGGCTCCCTCTCTTTGTCCTTTTCCTCAGCGTCCTTCTGCACTTCATCCTTACTAAGGTCACTGTGCACTGATTGTGACTGTGTCTAAATTTTCTGCCTCCATCCTGTCTTTGCCTTTGTTGAACTTCTCCACACAGACGTTGTATCTCAAACCCTAAACATAACAGGACCAGGCTAAATGTATCACCTGCTTTCCACACTGACTCATCCTGGCTTCCAGCTTCTATTCTCAGCACCACTGTGAAACTGCAAAGCTCTCACACCCTTTCTTGCTCCATTCTCCAGCAGTCTGCATGGTGTCGGGCTCCTACGATCTGTTGCCCAGGTTCCCCACCCGCCTTGTTTAATTAATGTGGTGCACAGGAAAGCAGGTGTAATCTGTGATCCATATCAATCGCATACACCGCTGGAGAGTAAATTGTATTTGCCCAATAATTTGGATTTTTTATAATTACTTTGCTTTTGGCTTATGGTCCAGTGGAGCTGCAATTAGTTGTTTTGTTTTTTGATAACTTTTGGTAGAAAACCAAAACAATACAATAATTAAAATGTGATGAAAATGTTCTACTTTTCTTAAGGTAATTACTGGAATTTAAATTAACATGGATTTTCATCTTTGCCAGAATTAAAAAAATAGGCGGAGACATTTGACGTGGAAAGATTGTTTTTTATTGTATTTAAAGGCGGAAGGCTACATATATGCCACATATTTTCCTAAATTTTGTTGTTAGTGAGAAAATAACACTACCTTGTTTACATATTTTAAATGAGTTTTAAGACATGTATTTTCGTTTATTATTGTTTTATTTTTCATCGTTTCAGGCTTATGGAATAGTACAAATAATACTTGGCTAAGTGTCTTCATTCAGATTCCCCAGATGCACCATTTACGATCCATGCTCTCTCTTCTCTCTCACAACACTGTTCTTTTAAACATTTAAGAGTCGATTGTAGATATGATTCTTTTTTATGCTTAAATACTGCATTGTGCTTCCTTAAAAAAAAGCAATTTTCTTACACAACCGTAACACAGTGATGAAAACAATCCATAGGACGGTGATCAAAATAATATCCTGCGATTTTTTAACCAGAGTAGTACATGCACATGATGAAACAGAATCACATAGAAGTGTTTAGAATGAAAATAATGCCCTATTTTATTACAGCTCTGCTTTCTAGAAATGGGAAATCTTAACAGTTAATTACTTGTATTTTTCATTCTTCTGCTCAGTTTGTCTGCAGTTCTAAACACACAACATTATTTCTTTGGTGAGTCATTTTTCTAATACGTATGTGTGGGATTGTTTCTTTGGATCTGAACCTGATTCTATATTTTATATTTATGTTTTTGTTCTTTGTGTTTTATACATATACCCAAACATACAAATATATGCAATTTATTTAAGAAATAACTATTTTTCCCTTGAATAGACAGATGAGAATTCCAAGGTCATGAATATTTTCTTCTTCCCTTTCCCAACTTTAGATAGCTATTATTTTAGTTATTTTACTTGGTTATCTGTTTATCTTTGTGTAAAACATGTAAAAAAGGATATAAATGACATATTAATATTTTACCTTAGTTTGTTCAGTTCAGGACCTAACAATGCTCTGCTGTTACATTTCCTTTCCTGTAGCCTAGTTGTTATTTAAAGGAGAATGTTTTTAACACTGAGGTGCAAAGAAACTCTTTTTATTCAAAGCTGCTAATTTTGGTTCAGTTCATGTTTGATTGATGCCTATTTTAGTTTTTCTTTTTTCACAGTCTCCTATTTTTCTTGTTTTTAAAGAGAAGAAATACACTTCCTGTCATCACCTGGCTAGTGTGCTCTTCCCTCAACCCAGAAAGAATTACAAGGAAGAGACTCAGAGGAGGACGGAGCAAAAGTATTTTATTGTAGCGTGAAAGCAGAAAGCAACTTTTGCTGTAAAACTAGCAAACAGCTCCTGGCCAAAGAATGGGGTGAGGCATGGAGGGGCTGCCGTTGAGATTCTTTGTCTAGGGGCTTTTATACACAAAAAAGACTGCATCGTAG